CTTCTGGACAAAGTCGCTATGACCCCGGAATTCGACACAATGGTGCCGTGACCCACGGAAAGTCATTGAATGCTGTCTCCGCCTGACCCAAGACAAGCTCCTAGACGTACTGGGACCAATAGCCAAAATTCTACTATTGGCTGATGAGGCGCTCTCTCAAGAGGGAACCTTAGACCCATCCATGATCTGGGAATGGGCTTTACGCTCCATATGCCTGCTGGGCAATGCAACGTGTCTCTCTATATGGAGCGAAGAAAAGCAGAACTGCTGCGTATGGCTCCAAAGCATTAGGTCCGCTTGCCAAAGGCCTATTATTCGGAGAACCTTACATAAAGGAGCTTCAAAACATGTCAACCTATACACTACATTGAACAAGGCTCAATGGTCCATGAGAAGAATTTTCCGGCAACAACCCACTCGGGTTTTTGGAAGGGCTGGCCGTACAAGGGGTCGTACCACCAGCCACTTCTGGCCATCAAACCAGCGATGATCCCACTCTACAGTTTTCTTCCTGAACTACCAGTCACGTGGCTTCTACAACCACAGAGCTGACAAGGGCAGTGGAAGCAGAGCCCGAGGATGCATCAGACTACCTACAGGTGAGACATTCTCCTCAATACCTCTCTATGCTATTGCATGTGGGTAGATTGGCCCATTGTTTAAACATGTGGAAGACTCTGTCTTCAGATACCTGGATTCTAGATACTGTGCAGGGCTACTCAATCAAGTTTGACTCCCATCCGATCAAGGCAGACCTTCCCTTTTGTCCCTTCCAGGATCCAGCAGGCACTACTAGACTCAAAGATTCACTCTCTCACTATGAAGGGTGCGATACGAGTCGCCCAGAACGATGGAGGATTCTTCAGCTCCATCTTAATGGTCCACAAGAAATCGGGAGAGTTTTGTACTGTTATAAATCTCTGTCATCTGAATACCTTTGTGGTTTACAGGCACTTCAAGATGGAAGGCATCCATCTCCTCCGAGACATCCTACATCCCGGAGATTGGTTCACTCGCTTTGATCTAAAGGACACTTATCTGTCAGTCCCGATGCACCTGACCAGCCAACGCTTCCTACGATTTCTCTGGAAGGGCCGACCATACCAGTTTACATGCCTACCGTTCAGCCTCAGCTCTGCCCCATGGTGTTTCACCAAGCTGCTGAAACCGATCACCGCACACATACGTGCCAAAGGCATACGTTGCCTAATCTATCTGGAGATCTCTTACTGTTTTGCGACACTGCCTCCATTGTACAATATCAGACAAACTATACAATATCATTACTCGAGTCCTTGGGTTTTGTGGTCAATTGGGGGAAGTCGGTGCTTTCCCTACCCAGGTGATTCAATTCCTGGGCTTCGAGTTAGATGCTTCTACCTGTGTCGTCCGCCTGCCACAGTCAAAGATATCAGCAATCCGAAAGGAACTACGCAGGATTTTTTGTCAGGAATATGTTCCTTTTTGCATGTTAGCTAAGATTGTGGGTCTCCTTTCTGCCTCCATACAGGTGATTTACCCAGGACCTCTCCATTACCAGGCCATTCAACACCTGAAAGCTCAATTTCTATGACCAGATGGTTCCACTCACCTCAGAGGTCAAGGAAGAACTCCGATGATGGCTCCTCCACATGTCCGCTTGAAACAGCAAGGCAATCTTTGGCCCCACTCTGGACTTCATCGTGGAGTTGGACGCGAGCCTTCAGGGTTGGGGTGCGACAGGCCCGACCACCTCTACAGGCTGCCCATGGACATCAGCAGAAAATCTCTTCCATATCAATTGCCTGGAGTTGATAGCAGGCTCCTTCACTGTGCGCAGCTTGGCCGGCCATCTCTCAAACTGTTGCGTCCTTCTGTGAATGGACAATATATCTGCCGTCCAATACATCAACCACCTGGGTGGAGCCAGATCACGCACCCTCTCTGAAGTTACAAAGGACATCTACAGTTTTTTCTTTCAATGCCACATCACTCTGCGGGCCGAATATCTCCCAGGAGAATCGAATTTTACAGCAGATTGGTTTTCTAGACGTTGGTGGGATGCCAGCGACTGGGGACTTCTCAGATCGGTATTCCTCCACATCTCACAGTTCGTGATGGATCTCTTTGCATCTCGGATGAACTATCAAGTTCCATGATGCTTCGCTTTCCTGCAAGACTGGTCGAGGCAGGGAGCTTACGCCTTTCCTCCATTTGCAATGATTTCATCCCATGATGGCACAAGGCCATCTAAACTTAGTGGCTTGGACTCTATCTGGGGAACCTGGAATTTCAGCGATCTATCACAGACATCTAAGGACCTACTCTGGGATTCCTGGGCCTCTGGAACTAGGAGGTGCTATTGCTCTGCCTGGAACTCTTGGTGCAGTGGTGTCTGGAACGGGACACCGATCCCATTACAGCACTTAGACAGTGTGTACTGAACTACCTCTCACACCTTTTTGATTTGGGGTGCTCTTATCGCTCAATCAATTTGGTCCGTTCTGCTATTTTAGCAGCCCATGTTCCTCTGCAGGGCTTCCCTATCGACCAAGACCCTCTGGTGCGCAGACTCCTACGGGGCATCAAATTAGCTCATCCCCCAACACCGATATATTCACACCTGTGGGACGTCAATGTCGTCCTCCGTTTCCTCCAAGATTGGCCCAATAACATGGATCTCTCTCTTTGCCAACTTTCGGCAAAATTCACCTTACTACTCTGTCACATATCTTTTTGCTGAGTTTCCGATGTGCAGGCTTTTGACTATGATGCCTTCAACTTCTCCCCAGAAGGAGTTACCTTCTCCATATCCAGATGTATGAAATTTGATTCCTCCACGGTTTTCTATCCATATTTTCCCAATTTCCCAAAATTACTCAGCCATTACTGCCTCCCTCCGTTCCTCCTTCTCTGGTCAACTATTAATCTTGTACGTTCGCCCCCATGCTCCAGTCTCAACCACCACCCTGGCACACTGGGTCAGATAGTTACTCTCTTTAGCGGGGGGTCAAAGCCTACTTTGGGGTGCATTTGGTCAGGGGGGCAGCGGCCTCAGGTGCATTTATGGCAGGGGCTTCTCTAAACTACATTTTTTTTTGGCACTAATAGTCCCACCTTCTGGCCACAGGTGGGGACAGGGGGTGGAATGTAATCTGTCTACCCCCATTTTTTATTTAATATCCCCACCTTATACCCACTGGTGGAGTCACAGTGGGACTTTGCCTCTACTGTTATTTTACACTCCCCATTCCCATAGGTTGGGGCCTTTCTACCAACTGGACAGCAATGGCTGTGGAAGTCTGTCTGTTCGGCCCCAAGCTATTGCTCACATACACTTCACATCTCAAAATCTACCACATGTTGTGTCATCAAAACTGCATATAGATGAGCCCCTGTTGTTCAGCAAGTCAATGTCAAACTATTTTAGAAAAACACTGCAAAATAATAAAGCTAAACATAGCATATAATGAATATAGGAGAATTTCTTCTGATTTTCCTATTGTTATGTTTGAAAGGAAACTAATTGGCTGCAGCTGTTCCTCTGCTAGGCATACAAATGACAGTTATCTTCCCATTGTTATACCAAGGCCACATACATTCCTACTGTTACTAGAACACCTTCTAATACACAGTTTTTTCTGCATGGTACCTATACCAAATTTAGAAAAAATAATAAATATCAAAACCTGACACTAGACACATGCCTATCCCTTTATAAAATCGTTTTAGTTAATACTATCAAGTAATTTAGCAAGAAGCTCAGTGAAACTAAATTGAGGCAGTAACAGTAGGGATAATTATTTAAACATAATTGTGGTAAATTGAAACCAAAACTGCAAAATACAGGCTAATATATATTTTTTTTAATATCAGAAATATTGGCCTAACATTTGCCATTTGTGGATCGTAAAGACCCAATAACAGCAGTATCACCTTTAAATGTTTTATATCCTTGAATATAGACCCTTGTGTCACCTAGCTAGAATAGAACCTAGGCAATGATCACTGTCATTCTGGTGATTACTATCTGCTCTGCCAGTGTTCAATCAGCAGATTATTTTGGTAAAGAGCTAATTACCTGGCTATCAATTACCATTTGTCTGTGCAGAGGTATTAAATCTCCTCTTGTTTACAATAAAAAAAATGTGTCAATCTTTCTTTTATTGAGGCAGTAAAGGTACTTTACAGAAGAGAAAGGAGTGTTAAAAAGTAAGCACTTGACATAAACGTATGCAATGGTACATCAACTCCAGGGTGTGACAGCCTCATTTTTTGATAGAACAGTGTAGTTAAAACAATAACAAGGCAAGTAAGCTCCACAAACTCAGGTACACTATCCCAGACAGTGATATTAAACTTAGCTAAGTAGTAGCGAGTCGTCTAGGCAAGTGAGACAACAGTGGATGTGTGAAGTATGCAGGCTAATCAGTGAATGAAAAGCTGGATACAAGTCAGGATATCATAATTAACGAGTAAGTCAAGCAGGCATTTTACGTTGGTCCAAACACAAATATCACTGCATGCAAGATTCACCTAACTGGGAAATACGCGGTGCACGTTAGTTAGATGAGGGAAGCAGGTATGGAGAGACTTAGGCTTATCTGTGAGAGCAGTTCAAGTGTGCTGTGCTATGTGTGCAGGCTATGAAGTGATGCAGTAAATATACATAGTGACTGGAACGATAAGCGCGCTAAAACAAGTTATGCCCGCTTAACCGGATAAATTATGTGGCTAGCATGCAGGCTAGGTAAAGTAAAAGAAAAGAAAGAGAAAAGGGGGCTGAGTTATCAGTGTTACTTAACAATAAACCCCCTAGGGTATGCAGGTATGTTTATGCTGTTTAGGCAGCCCCCGTCCCTCCCGTCCACTTTTAGTATAGCAGTATTAAGACTTTTGACCCAAATCATTGCCAAATTCTGTAAAGTTTGCTAGGCAATAGACAGTTTGTCCATTAATGAACTCAGCCCACTCCACAGGGTATGAAAGTGGCTTGGCTTCTGGAAGCTTGTCTATCGTGCCTCGGGAGGGAAGTCGTTTGATTCTCTGCTGGGTTGGAGACCTTCTCTGGTCTGCTGAGATGCCTTCTCCGGCTATGAGGTTGGCTGATTCGTGGTGTTGTTGCTTCTAGAGACCACTTGTCTTCGGCCTGTTGGTCATTGATCCCATCAACAGGATCGTGGGCCCAGGGTTCCACCGATTCACGATCTTCTCCCTGAGGGTATGGCAGGCTGTGGAGGAGTTCCTCCTGGTGAGCGCCCAGCTCAGATGAAGGGCGAGCAATCCAGACAGCAGCGCTATCCACGTGGACCGTGTGTCATGCTGGATAACTAGGGCTTTGCGTCTGGTACGTCTCTGGACTTGAGGGTTGCTTTATGGTTTGGGTCGTCTGCTGATGCGTGCTATCTGGGATCATATATGGCTGCCTCTGTGCTGCATGGGATGCAATCCGGCTCCAGAATGCTGCACTGTCAAAGTTTGCATTAAATTTAGCTTCCCAGTCAGGCACTTGTGTTATCTCTGCCACCATCGCCATTTTACCTTTGGCTCGGCGGTAAGGTGTAGCAGGGGGAGCTGGTAAGTCGCTTATGTGGCGTAGCTACTGCTCCCTCAGGGGGGACCGAGGTAACCCTCACCGGTCCAGAGGGAGGGGAACGGGTTGGCTGTAGCACTCTAACGGCGGTTGGTTGGAAGACCAGCCGTGTCTCCCCTCCATGTGGTCCGCCTGATGAGTTGGCCGCGATGAATAAATCTAGCCGCGGATGGTGGATGGAGCTCCTATTTCGCTTTTGAGGGCTCCCTGCCAGTAATCGATAGGGGTGTGAGCCGTTTAGTCGCCTTTTTGACGGTTGCTCTGCTGTCTTTTATCAGGATTCACTGTGGTTGTGTGAGGAGCTCCCTTCAGACACGTCCGTCGGCCATGCTAGTTAGGCCCTGCCCCCCTCTTGTTTACAATATTATATTCCTGAGTCTATTATAGAAACTATATTACACTCTTCTAGATCTTCTTATCTATGATTTTAATTTTTAGGACCTTATTTGCAGTTTGGCGTACTGGCACTATTCTGGTTTCATATAGCTCCAGATATTGTATAGTACCTTCTGGTCCTACCTGTTTTTATTATTTCCATTAAGTACCTGGAGACAATCATATTAAGACAAACAAAATTAAGGCACCTGCACCTTACCCTGACCCCACCTGCACCTACCATGACATTCCTTGCATGAGTTTATGATATGTGATAATTCCCTACAGGTACAGTACATTTAAAAAGAACCTGTTTATGCCTTTCTCAATCAATGGACCACAGAGTATACACACTGACTGACAGTGTCTGTTTAAATATATATTTATTTTTCTATTATTTTTTTTCAGGACTCCAATTATTACATCAAGTATTAGAGGGCCTTTGAATATCATATAATTTCCCATTGAATACTGAATGTAATATAGAACACTGGAGATGACTTCCCTGCTTACAACCTTGTTACACCAATGAGTATATAATTTATATATTATATTGGTAATATATCTTTCATAATAATTTTATTTATTTTACACTCTCCAGATGCTTAAATATTTTACCAAAAGTTAATAAAAAAGTAGGTGCCATCCCACTGTAAGCAGTCAAACCATTTTCAAATTGTTTGACACATACCTGGGTCACTAGGGCACCTCTGGTCTTGCCTCTCTTCTGCCCATGTTTAATACAAAATACTTTTGGCTAAAGAGTCATGTTGAGCTTCTGCTTTATACATATCATATATATATTTATACAGACATCATAAATTGAGGCTAAATCAAATTCAACCAGGAGACCCAGATAAGTGTTAAAACATCTGAAAATACTTTGACTGCTCACCTTGGGATGTCTCTAGGAGATACCTGGCATCACAATCAGTACTAACAGACTGTAGTGGATATGGTGCTCAGACTGCAGTTTTAAATCATTTATATCCTACTCTGACATTAAAACAGTGAATTCCTGTAAAATTCTAAAAGTTTGGCAATGATATTGCATTGTGAGGTGCATATAGAATAGTTTTTTTTAGAAGAATAAAACAAAAAACAAACAACAATCTTTAAATGGACAGTTAACATTAAAGTGAAAAACTGAGCATTAATAGACCTATTTAACAGAATACCTGGTACAGCTGTCAAAACTAAATTGCTGCAATTTACCAAAGCCAGGAGAAATGTAAAGTTCAAACATATCCACACTGAATATTTTACACAATGCAGAATTGCAAAAATAGAATTTAGTGTCTCACTTTTCTGACATTTTCCACCCCAAACTGTGTTAGAAACCAGATGAAAGAATTCTTGCTGTCAGATAAAAGCAGCCTTTCATATTTAACCTGCGTGTGTAAAATGTGGTGAATGAAACTAACCGAGAAACTCAGAAAAGGGGAAAAACAGATCACAAAACTGTGTAGTATAGGTCAAAATATATTGCTATATCTACAATAGTACTGTTGCATATTCTCCAAATTGTACTCTTTTATAGAGGCAGTTTGAAGGCATGGTACCCGTACTTGATACAAATTTATTTTATTACCTATTAAGTATTGTTACAGAAAAATAGTCATAATTCTTAATATTTAAAATGAAGATTGTATGTATTATAGCCTTGGCATGTATTATTTTGAAATGCACACATATAAGTACGCATCTGCTTTCCAAAACCAGTCCTCATGGCCCACCAACAATCCAGAATTTATGCATTTCCCTATTTTATTCTAATGGAGATACTGACAAAACCTTGACTGTTGGTGTTTCTTGAGGACTGGTTTGGGAAACACTGTCCTAGCGTATACTTGTTCTACAGGACCGCCATCTTTAAGTTCTAGTTGATCACGAAGCACATCTTTCAGAAAGGGCGTGTGTTCTCACAATTGTCAAACTCTCAGATGGTTTCTACTTTGAAATGGGGAAATGGTTCAAATTGTTTCTCAGCAGATAAATGGTGCTTCTGAGAATTTGAGGATGGCAGCACACATGGGACAAGGATAATCTAGAAGATGCACTGAACAGAGTCAATTTATTTGTATTCGTAACAAAATAATACACCACAGTGCTAAATTACATTTAATATTTCACTTTCATCAGTAATTAAAAATTATTGACAGTTTTCCTTTCATGTGAGGTTTTGCGTGGCGGGTGGGGGCCCTAAATAACAATAAGGGGTGGAACCTATTGTCTTCCCCCCCGACCCCCACCCCTGAGCGGAGGGTGGGGGCCATAAATAAAAATTGGGGGGGGGGCCTAATGTCTTCCCCCCCCGGTCTCCACCCCTGCGTGGTGGGTGGGGGCCTTAAATATCAATTAGGGGGGGACCTATTGTCCTCCCCCGTGGCCCCCACCCAAGAGCGGTGGGTGGGGGCCATAAATAAAAATTGGGGGCGGACCTAATGTCCTCCCCCCGGACCCCAACCCTGAGCGGTGGGGGCCATAAATAAAAATTTGGGGGCGGACCTAATGTCCTCCCCCCGGCCCCCACCCCTGCGCGGTGTGTAGGAGCCCTAAATAACAATAAGGGGGGGGGACCTAATGTCCTCCCCCCTGGCCCCCACCACTAAGCAGTGGGTGGGGGCCATAAATTTAAATTTCCCACCCCCAGATGACTAGGGGTCTCCAAACCCCTAGTCACCCACCTCCCCCCAAAAAAATTACCCCTACCTACCCCCCACACCCTAAAAATAATGAGGGGGGGATGATTAGCTAAGTACCTGTAAAAAAAAAAAAAAACTTACAATTTAATGTTTTCTTTCTTCTAAAATCTTCTTTTTTCAGCCCCAAAAAAGGCCAAATAAAAATCCAGAATAACCGACGCACTTTAAAAAAAAAAAAAAAAACGAGCACAAAAAATAATAAAATTCTTCTTCACCCATGGAGGGCTCCGCGCAGACTGAGCTCTGCAGGGCAGGGCAAGGCTTATAAAGACCTTGCCCCGCCCTGCAATTAGGCTCAGAGCACTCTGATTGGTGGGTTTAAGCCAATCAATCAGAGTGCTATGACAGGTAAATGAAGAGACTGACAGGTAAGTCTCTACATTTACCTGTCACAACACTCTGATTGGTTGGCTTGAAATCCACCAATCAGAGTGCTCTGTGTCTTTTTACACAGCGTGGGAAAGTTCTTTGGAATTTTCCCATGCTGTGTAAATATGACAAACACTCTGATTGGTTACTTAATACACCAATCAGAGTGCTCTGTGTCATTTTACACAGCGTGGGAAAATTCCAAAGAACTTTCCCACGCTGTGTAAAATGACACAGAGCACTCTGATTGGCTGGATTTCAAGCTAACCAATCAGAGTGCTCTGTGTCATTTTACACAGCGTGGGAAAATTCCAAAGAACTTTCAGTCTCTTCATTCTTTATAAGCCTTCCCTCGCCCTGCAGAGCTCAGTCTGCGCAGAGCCCTCCATGGGTTTTTTTTTTTTTTTTTAAGTGTATCGGTTATTCTGGATTTTTATTTGCCCTTTTTTGGGGCTGAAAAAAGAAGATTTTAGAAGAAAGAAGACATCAAATGATAAGTCTTTTTTTTAACAGGTATTTAGACAAGGGTCTTCCCTCATTATTTTTAGGAGGATGGCGGTAGGTAGGTTCCCCCCCCTTATTGTTATTTAGGGCCCCCACCCGCTGCACAGGGTTGAGGGCCGGGGGGGAGGACATTAGGTCACCCCCCTTATTGTTATTTAGGGCCCCCACCCGCCGCTCAGGGGTGGGGGTTGGGGGGGGAGGACAGTAGATCCCCCCCTCCACATTCTTATTTAGGGCCCCCACTCGTCACACAGGGGTGGGGGCAATAGGTTTTTTTTTTTTTGTACAGTGAGCAGCCACTGGCTGCTCACTGTTTACTAGACACTCCCAGGGCCGTCTTTAACGCGGGGCAAAAGGGGCAGCTGCCCCGGGCACTGTCATTCCTAGGGGCCCAATGCAGCTGCCCCTTGAGCCTGCTGGCCGCTGTGGTGCTTGTGGGCAGACCACTGCGGGCCGCACGATGAGGGGCCCCATCGGGTGGCCCATGCTCTTAGGGCCACCCGATGGCAATGAATCTGCAGGGGCCCGGTCAGCACTGCGGCGCTTTAATAGTGCGACCGGGCCCCCAGTGATGAGGTCAGCGCTTGGAGGAAGTGCAGTCACTTCCTCCTAGCTAACACAGAGAATGCCGCGTGGGAGGGAGGAAGAGAGGAGGAGTGCGGACTGAGAGAGCGCTCAACTCCCAACAGCCTCAGACAGCCACTGGACAGCAGGTAAGTCACCCTCCTGCACCCAAAAGGTAGGAAACAGGAGTGTGACTGAAATTGTATATTTTTCATGCATGTCTGTTTGTGTGTATATATCTGTCTGCATGTGTATCAGTCTGTGCATGTGTCTGTTTGTGTGTGTATCTGTCTGTATGTGTATATGCATGTGGGTCTGTGTGTATATCTGTCTGTATGTATATCTGTGTATCTTTATGTGTGTTTCTGTGTGTATAGCTGTCTTTATGTGTATATGCATGTGTCTGTATCTGTGTGTATCGGTCTA